TGAGTCGATGCAATCAGCTGGTTTTCCTTAGATAGAAAACTTTGAATCCATCTGACTGGACAAACTTGATATTTCTCTGTAAAATGCCTTGAGATGACTTGGTTTGTGAATCGGCCGTATAGAAATTAACTGAATAGAATTGTCATATCAGATTGTGTCAAGGTGGATTTTGTTGACATAGATAATTAAATCTTATATTTGACTAAAAGTTAAAACACAGTAACCCACAACCACTCAGTGAACCAATAAAGGAAGAAGTTTTGCAATTTTTTCCCTCTTCCTCTTTTCAGCCGACAGGAAACGTGTTTCTAAATGACACTTCCTAGATTTTAGTGACAGATGGTTTTCTGGTGGCTGAACCAACTGAAGATGGACCAACAGTTTCTGTTTTTCCTCCTGATTCTGATCATATCAGGTAAGATCAACCCCTCAGTTAGTTTGGGTTTAACCGGATTCAAACATTAATATTTAAAGTGGAGATGAAACTCACAAGATTTGATAAAGAATACTTAAATGTCTGTAAATGTAAAAGTTTATTTTACTGCTCTTAGACTTTGAACTGAAAAATTATGTGAGTTTATTCTGGTAAAAAAAAAAAAAGGTGATTCCCTTTTTTATGTTAAATTAATAAAACTAGGAATAAACTAATCGGCTGTGAACTTTTTTCTGGTAGCTCGTGATTCTTTCAAGATTCTTTTTAAACATCAGTTTAGGGAAAATTATTATTATTATTGCATCGAACAAACCCGATAAAAATGTAAATCTGATAAAGGTTTTAAACGGGAATTAAAGAGCTTCATCATATTAATGCATTTAAACACATTTTCTCAGATTCAGTTTATTTCGTTTACAATTTGATTTACAAAATCTTTATTTGTGAAATGATTGCGTAGCTTTGGTTTCAGAATTTTTATCTCATAATAAATTATCAGCATGATTATTCAGAGGACACAGTGGACCCGAGGTTATGTGACCAAATGTGTTTCAGATTTCAAAGGAATAATTTTGATGTCATGTGGGAAAATGCGGCCGGGTTTTATCGTTATATTGTTAGTTCCTGCAGCCAGTCTCTGATCCTCCTCCACAGGCTCCGCCTCTGTCGCCTGGAAGATGAAGACTCCCCTGATGGTCACTGCTTCCAGGGGAGAAGACGCAGTCCTCAACTGCTCTGTCTATCCCGACAGACTGGATTACTCTGACAAAATCACGGTTAAATGGGCCAAAAGTCAGGCAGAAAGTCCATTCTTTGAATGTTCTGTTAGGAACGACACGTTGGAAGGACCACATGACTGTTCAGTGTTAAAGTATTCCCTGTTTGGAGACCCTCGGAGGGGGGAGCTCTCTCTGCTCATCACTAACGTCCAGCTGAATGATGGAGGAACCTTCTTCTGTAAAGTGGAGCTGGTTGGAAACAGAAAATTACAAGACAAGATCCAGCTCGATGTGAAAGGTATGTTTTTATACAAACAGCAAAGATCTAAAAATGTTTGATCTGATTAAAAAGGCTCCTCCAGTTCAGATTATTGGTTTGAACTGTCAGTCACCATGATGGGGGTGTTGAGGTCACTAACAGGAACTAACAGGTCACACCAAGCAAAATTGGTTAAAA